TAGTATTAACAATCAAAACACTTATTTTCTCATAAAAGGGCAAAGAACCATATGGACGTACCTCTTGGTTCATCTACTTACGTACATATAAAAATATATGTGAATTCTATGTTGATTACCAGCTACAATAGAAAACGAAAAAAAAAAAGGCCTGGTAGCAATCTAGAGATGAGAGAGGTACAAATGATGATTTGTGAGGATAATATTGCAAATAGAGACTAAAAGATAGCCAAATGAGACAATCTTGTGTCTTTTTTTATGAGGTTAACAGATCTAATTATAACCAACGATGCATGGTTGTTAATAACAATCCAATTATTTGTGATGAGTTATGTTTGCCTTAACTGATTAATGCATGGATTAAAATTATAAACTCTATATAATTTAGTAGATCTGCATTATTTAATAGATAGTTTTATCCGCACCCCACGAGGTTTCATAAAGTATCAGTTGAACATGGTCAAATATTTGTGCACGCAATTTGTGACTGTGATTTACCAATTTATTCAACTTTTTTTAATTTTAGCAAGGTGTATCAATGGCGTATGATCCGTTTCATATACCAATTTTAAATCAAATTGCATGGTACACGTGGAAAGTCGACCTTAATAATTGTTACAAATTTTGGTTTCAGGAGAAACAAACTATAAATATTCATTTTTTTTTATGAATAATATATAATATTATAATATAAAGATAATTTGTATTTTGTTCATGTGGGACTACGAGTAGTGTATTTATTTGGAATTTTGAGTAAGATCTTGTGATTTTTTGATAATTGAAACTTTTTAAAATTTTCAGACTGTGGAGAAATTATATGAAATCTTTAAGTTTTGATGTGAGTTTTGAAGTGATATTTCGTATATCTTTTATTTTCTTAAATTCTAGCAAATCTTAAAAAGTTTTAACAAATTCTTGTCTTAAAATATCAAATGAATACTTAAGCATTTTGTAAGACCTTTTAAAATCTCAAATGAATATCTAAGCATTTTGTAAGACTTAATAAAAATCTCAAATGAGTACCTCTAGACTTTTAAAGTTTTAAAAATCAAAATCAAATATATTATGATTTCTGAATTCTTAAAAAGTTTTCACAAATCCCAAACGAATACACATGTTTCCATAAAAAATAATACTCCCTCCTATTTTTAATAAATGTCGTTTTGAGAAGTTGCACAATAATTAAGAATATTTTTTTTGCCAATAATAACCCTCATTAATGAGAATAGAGATTGATGTTTTGAAAAAAGATGGAGAGTGAATACGAAAAGACGTAGTGTATTTATTAGTTAGACGAGGGTAATGATGGAAAAATATGTACAAAATAGCCAAAACGACATTTATTTAACAAATGATCAATTAAGCTTGGATGACAAATAATAAAAATAGGAGGGAGTATTTTTTTTATAAGTACAATTTAGCATAATTTAAGAATTTCACATTTGGTTACGTCGAACACTCTACCAGCTGGGAATAGCAAACTCGAACCACCACCTCGTCGGTTGAACGCCGAGCACCTGCAAAGAACTCTCACACAGGAGGAGTTTTTCGGTGAAGAACCTCCGATGCTTAAGTCAGTATCAGTTTTTCTCAATTCTCCAAAGTAAGAATGGATAAATCATGCTCAAAATGTAAAGCTCACCTCTATATATAGTACTACAAGAAATTGTCAAAATGCCCACAGAAATTACCAACGGAAATATTTCCGTTAGGATTACCAACGGATTACCAACGAATTAACAATACATTATATGTATAATTTCTTGAAACAGATTACCAACAAAATACTAACAAATTTTTGCAATGGAAATAAATCTCTTTTTATTCTGTTAGCAAATTATATTAACAACAGAACATGTCGTTGGCAAATAGCAATGATTTAATTCCGTTGGAAAATACCAACAAAATTGCAATGGAAATCTTCATAATAGTAATAGCAACGGAAATTTCCGTTGCTAAATAGCAACAAAATTATTTTGTTGCTATTTATCAACGAAAAATCCGTCACTAAATAGCAACAGATATATTTTGTTGCTATATATTTAGCAAAAGAACAAGGATAATAAAAAAACCAAAACCCAACTAAAATGAGCACTCTTACCAACCGATTTGTCTGTTGCTAAATGCCAACAGAGTTATTCTGTTGCTATTTAGAAACGGATTGACAACAGATGTTAAAGCCAAATAAAAGCCAAAATATGCTTAAAGCAAAAAATTGAAAACATTTATCTTCTTTCTAATCGGGAAAGCAATAAAACCCTTGACCTTCATTCGCTCCTCCTCGCCCCCGCTCCCCGCCTCATCTTCACGCGCCGCTTCCATCTCCAGTCTCCTCGTAGGCCCCGCGCTGGTACATCCGTCCTCGGTTAAGGCTCTTCTCTTACTGCGAATCGTCTCTCTTGCCACTTCGAACAGGTAATGCTGCCTTTCTCTTACTGATTATTATTGCTTTTTTTTGTTATCTATATCTATATAATTACTAGCTAATCCCATTTAATAAAACATTTAATAAAAATATTTTCATTTTCCCTCCAAAAGGAGTTACATTTTTTTTAATTAATTACTTATTAATCCACATTTAAGAAGGTTTCTTTTAGTTAAACCTAATTATTTAACGATTAAATTGAAAAAGTTTTTCTTAATTAATCCCACATTTATGTTAAGTACAGTTATCTTATCAGTTTTTCGAAAAAATAGTGACTTTTTTCAATAAATTTTATAAAAATTAGTTAAATGTGTTTATATTCATATAAATCAGAAAAAAAAATAACTCTTAGATATATAAAAAGAACATCGTTGAAATAACTTGAATTTACAAAAAAAAATTAAACATACATAAAAAAATTTCTGACTGTGATTAAATATAACAAAATGGCCTTAATCGGCCTCTTAAAATCACGATGCGGGCGGTTCCAATCCGTCGGAAGCTAACCCTAATGGAAAGCTCATGATATGAGTTTTTTTTTTTATTTTTTTTTAAAAAAAAAANACAGATCTTTACAGATCTATTATGTCATAACGATTTTAATCGAAAAATTGTTCAAAAAGCAAAACAAAAAAAAAATCTAGAGCAAAATGTTGTAGATCTTCAAAGATCTATCATGTAATCGCCCGATTTTAACCGAAATACAATGAATCAGTAAATTGGTTCTTTATAATCGGGACGATTTCACTTTGTCATCTCTCTTTTGTCTCGAAAAAAATAATTTCAAGTGTTTTTTTTAATATTGGTTTGAAAAAACATAATAAAATCACCGATGAATCATACTTTTTGGCAATATTATTGGCGAAAAGTCGTCCAACAAAATATGAGGATAAGGATTTTCAGTACAGAGAACAAAGAAGAGAGAGAGTCGCCGAAAGAGATTTGAGAGAGGCGAGGGGTTTCTCAGTATTTAAATGTCCAAGCTAGCTGGCTAGACATGTGTCGATTCTTGATTTTGCATGAAGTAAGAAATTATCTTTTTGCCCTTATTCAAAGTCGTATTGTTGCTTCATTCTTCCTATAGGGCTGTTTGATTTTAGCGGCCATATGTTAAATAGTGCCCCATTGTTAAAATATTGGCCCAAGCTGAATTTTTAGGAATGACCTAATGTAAAATAAAACCTAATTTCTAAAAATAACCCAATTGTTATTCTCTTTCAAAATTTGGACTCATATTTTATAAATACATGACCCAAAATAGATTGATACAATATATAGTACAAAAGAATTAATTTGTGAAACAAAATTGACCTCAAATTAAAACCATTACATAAATGATTTTAAAACATATAATATTGATTTTTATATTACAAGCTTTCATGAAAATATGATTGCTTCATTTTATTATTGCCACAATATTTTATATAATAAATCTTATAATATAAATAATTTATATGGTGTGTTAAAACTTTAAAAAATACATTGCAGCTTATAATTTAACTCTGTCAATTTAATTATTGTGAGTACGTTATCTAATATGCCTACTGCAACACCTTCCTTCTAAAGATCGGTTGTCGCTTAAAATTCGCATTATATTATCCAAGAATATGGTATATACTTTGTTTATTGTTGTACATTTTGTATCATTATTAAATGTTAATCTCATTATAAAAAAAGATTGTTATTATTGTATATATTTTGTTGATTATGAATTAATTTTTTATTTTAAGTATTCCAATCGCAACTTCTCAAGGTTCGTCTCAGAATAGTTCCATAAGTCACATCATAAATGCTTCTTCGAGCGGTTAAGTACGTTTGATTTATTTTACAATGGACAACCATGAAAATGCGCCTCTGAGAACGTTGGTTAACAATATCCGCAAGGGTAATTTTATACTCATTATAAATTACTTTAAACTTTTTGTTTATATAAAAAATTAATAATATATTTTCTCATTTATATTTAGATGGTATTTTTTTATTAAGAAGCAAGGACAATCTCTATTAATCAATAAGAGTCAAGGACAAACAATATAAAGAAGTATTTTCTGACATGATCAATAAGAGTCAAAGACAGTCTCTGTCGCACGTTAGCTTACTACTGAAGAGCTCTGCATTTAGTCATGAGCAATTATACGTGGCGCTTTTTAGAGTTACGAGTCAGTGGGGTTTGAAGATTTTGATTTGTGTTGATGGAGATTCTGACGATAGAAAAACCACGACGTTGTTTTATAAAGAAGTGTTTAAGAATATTTATATTTTTTTTTCTTAATTTTTTTTCAATGATTTTGTTATGATTTTTACTATTGCTTATAATTTTTATTATTTTTTCC